ACAATATATATATATATATTTCTAAACAGATAGCTATATAAGTACATAGAGATGTCTAGATATTGATATTTTATAGAATTATATAAAGTATATATTTCTAAACGGATAGCTATATAAGTACATAGAGATGTCTAGATATTGATATTTTATAGAATTATATAAAGTATATATTTCTAAACAGATAGCTATATAAGTACATAGAGATGTCTAGATATTGATATTTTATAGAATTATAAAAAGTATATATTTCTAAACAGATAGCTATATAAGTACATAGAGAGGTCTACATATTGATATTTTATAGAATTATATAAAGTATATATTTCTAAACAGATAGCTATATAAGTACATAGAGAGGTCTACATATTGATATTTTATAGAATTATATAAAGTATATATTCATAATTTTCTTCGTCTTATTTTCCTAAAAGTAATATTTTACTCTATAATGTTTTTATAAGATGAAATTTATAAGATACTAGAAAATCACATTTTAAACACCGAATTCATATGAGTTACATAATCAAAAATGTTCTATCTTGGAGATTACGCCTCAAATCCGTAAACCTCCACCTCACAAACGTGAAGAACGTTAATATTAGGCTCTGGACAATCGGAGCAGAAACTCGTGATCTGTATCGTGACGTACCGACCGGTCAAGGAACACGGCTCACATGTCATTGTACAGGGATCAGTTTGTATTCCACCACCAACGTGACGGCCACATAATCCGTTTAGGTCAAAAACCTTCGTGACATAGTCATCAGTAATCTTGTTGTTACCAACTCGAATCTCGAAATCGTGTAGTCTAAACCCTATTGAATAAAGTAAGTACAAACTCGTAAGTTACAATACTTTCTATAAGTCACTATCATATTAGGAAAGATCTGGCTTAAACAAACAGTGAAACAATTACATATAGTAAAAACAAAACTAAACATCACAGCTGTTTCTCTACAATTCAATTTCTTCATATAAACTATGAAGTCGGCAAAGAAAAAACACAAGGATGTATAGTATTTCTCTCTACGCAAAAGAAGCACAAGCTAAAAAATATTAATTAACTTACTTGATTATGCTTATAAGTTTTAAAGTAACAGATGAATATTTGCAAGTTATATGCGTTAACAGGTTGTAATAACATTACATGTGACGTCTATTTGTTTTAGCAGGTCATATACTCACACTAATATTTTGATCATTCATCTCGGCAGGTAGTAATTATGCTGGAGTTTGTTGCTTCCTAGCGTCTTCATACAATCATATTTTTTCTTATTATCAAGAAATGCTCATTATGTTTTGTTGAAAATGGACTAGCTGTTAAAAACAAATGAAAGAAAGTTCGCTTTTCGTTATTGAGAAATAATTATTTGTTTGTGATTATCCTTTCATTATTAGAAGCAGAAATCGCTTGTTCAGTCTGTTCATAATACGTCACAGAAAGCAACAAACGATAGGCATGTCTAATGACATCAATTTCTACAAACCAGTTATAGAATTGTTAGAATATTTTAATTAAAACAAGGCGAATTCACCATTATAAAACAACGTTAATCACGAAAATATGCATCAAATCATCCGTCATGTGACCTGAAATGCAAATAATAGATCATTAAGTCTACACTCGCAAATGAATATTTGGTTGATATATATACGGCCGTACATCTTTCGTTCATGACGTGAGCTGGGCGTGTGCTAATGGTCAACGTGACGGATTGTGAATCCTAGAGTCCATGGATCGCGTCAAATTATCACAAAAGAACGCGATCCGCACTTTAGGCCCGCGAGTGCACCACATGAATGATGGTCAAATCCCACTGTATTTGATTATAATAGTCTAGGAGTTGGCGAAGAGTACTGATTACTAGCTGGCTTTCGTATTACCTGTTAATTCAAATTAGAGACAGCGCGGTTAGTCCTTGTGTAGATTTTCGCGAATTTCCAAGATAAACAAAAAATTTCACGACATTTCATTTAAATACAGAGTAAGATCACTGCAACAACAGGACAGCATGACACTAGTATTGTCTGCTTGAAGTCGTAGTGTTGATTAGGTATTGAGGTACTATCAATCATTTCACTGAAACAGGTGTTTCTAAGGGATGGTCATTATATATATCTGGAGTCATTAGAAGATTCGGGGCACGTAGCCCAAACGAATTCTACAGTGTGCTGAATGAGATTAAAGTCTGATGAACGTGCAGGCTAAACCATTTGGGCAATCCTTTTATTTTTATAAGGAATGTGTCGACCAATTTAGCTCGGTGGAGCAGGTGTATATCACACATTATTTTGAACTCAACGTTAGTTACATCAACATATAACAGTATAAAGAGTCATTGGTTGAAATTTGTATGGATATATTCTACCATTTTTCTTTATGCTGGGACAATGTTTCATGATAAGTCATCTTCACGTCCCTAGCAGTGAGACGACAGGAGAATATGATAAATCAGTTTTGGCAGAATATGATTCCAGATGTTGCTAGCATTTAAGCATAAAAAACAAAACAAAACAAAAAAAAACAGGATTGACCTGCCTTATCTATGTTTAATGAAATTTCACCACAATCAGAGCCCTCTCGGTGGTCCACGTTGTTAATGGATTATCCCCTCCAACCACCTCACAGTTATACAAATGAAGAAGGGCTCAATATGGAACCCGAAACTTGATTCCAGCACAAAGTAAAATGACAGTAAATGTCAATAAAATTAAATTTCAGCCAATAAATTCAAAATTCTGCCAAAATTTAGCTGAAAAGAAGCAGAAAGGGTCATAACATATAGTCCCTATAGTGCGTGGCATTAAGAGTGCCATTCTCCAAGTCGTAAAGACCACCACCACGTCATGCTTGTGAATGAGAACAGTGTTAAATCTGATTCGAAGTTCTATTTAAATGAGCATGTATCTATTATTTGCTCCAGGTTGAAGATCGGCTCGTTTAAAAAAAATAATTTCGATCCATAGGTTTCTAGTCTATTGGATGTTTTATTGGTTCTATTGTATGATACATGTACCGTTAATCTACTGGACGTGTCATTAGCAGTGCCAGATTTAGAGGGGGTACAACCCATGTAGTTCCATGGGGGCCTCTATTTTTAATCATCCGAGGAAGTGGTCCCCAGCATAGCAGTATTGCATAGGGGCCCCTAAGGTTCTAAATCCAGTTCTGGTGGTTAGTCTACTGGACGTGTTTTTGGCCAAGCTGTTTTGTGCCTTATTGTGAGTGGAACACAGTTCGTTGGGTACATGGCATAATACAAATTGGCTTTGAGAATTTTCTTTCTATCCACACGTGGACAGAAAATATGAATGGTTGTGGTTAAGTACAATTATTATTCAATTTTGGAGCAGGTGTCATATGAATGTGACGAACCAAAATCGACTGATCATGCTTATCTACTTATGTTTTGGATGATCTAGCTTCTTCAGATGTCTGAACAAGTGTAACACTGGTTTGTAAGTGATTTCACATTCTACTTTAAAACACTTATAGCTAATTCGCAACAGCTTCCTGTGATTGGCCAGCTTCAATTTATATAGTGGCTTGCTGCATATGTGAAACATTCAAATATATTATATAAATCCTAACCATGATCCATGAACAATGTCGAACATTTCAAACTCTGCGGTTCGTTTCAATGTGACAAAATTATAGGAGCCTTTATACAAAGCACTGGTCTGATTGGTCAGCAATTTGAATTTAAGGCTACCTGATGAACCATCATTGGCCTATTTTATGTACAAATGAAGGGAGGAAGACAAATGATATTTTTATAATAGTATTTGTTTCATTGTTTCTATAGCGAAGGTATTATAAATTTCTTTAATGGTTTTATGAGTGTGTGTATGCACTGTGCATATTTTTAACAAAGAGTTTACAATATTTGATAAAATGCAAATTTAAGTATTATAAGAACTTGAAAATAACTGCATTGTGTGTAATTAATTCTTTTAGGTTCGATACTTACGGCAACAATCTTGACGGTTCCATATAGTCACTGACTGAACTGTATGTTCCTTACCAAGGTCCACTTGTAACCATGGGTATTTGTCTTCAAATCTGGTATGTGTGAAATTTGGGGAAGAACATATTCTATCTCCATCAACGGCATATTCTGGCTTAAAAATGTGGTAATTCGAGCTTTGCTTAACTGGCTTATTTCCCGCCAAATTTTCTGACACTCGCAAAAAAAAAAAATCTATTATTTGCATATAAAATCACACTTTCTGCTAAGTTTTAAAAACGTTACATATTTATATAATAGCCAAGCAATAATAGCAATAGACTGTCTGTCACGCTCTGTATGTCCTGAACAGTCAATCACAGAAAAAAACAATATATTAAAGTGCTTCCTTTCACGAATAATTGTTCGCTGGTGGGACAGTGGTAATTTTTCGGATTTACAATACTAAAATCAGGGGTTCGATTCCTCTCGGTGGACACAGCAGATAGCCCGATGTGGCTTTGCTATAAGAAAACACACACGAATAAATTACAAGAAAATTATTCGTTTTTTACAACTCCTGAAATTTCATATTGATATCAACGAATGATTAGTTTGAGGGGAACTTAATAAGAACACAAATGTTTCTTTTTGTGAGAGAATTTCACGAATAAAAGGGACTTTCTCCGTCGACTGATTGAAGAAATATTTCGAAGATAAAATCATGAACAGAAAACCACATAAAGAGATGAACATGTTTGAATATATATTTGTTGTTGTTTGGTTTATATTTATTTTTTTAGTTTGTTTCTCATGTCTATATCATATTTATGCATAATGTTATTGTATCATGTCGGACAAAGTGAGTTGAATTGAATTGAATATCTCCCCTTTGACACTTCTTATAGCCACAAAGAGCCCACTGGTAGATGACTTTTCTTGCACACAGGAAAATGAGAAGGAATTGTGGCATTTGACAGAGAAAACTCTCCTTGGCTACTTACTTAAAAACAAACATACTGTAATTCTCTTTATTGAAATAACACATGGAGTGACAAAAGACAGTTGTAAACGGCCCATTAGAGAATATATGTTATGATCCAATGAATTGGGCTGGCTACACATTATATTTATTCATCATCATTTTGTAGGAAATTTACCATTAAATTATTTCAACAGGCATCTGCTAGTTCATTATAAACCATAGAATATTCGATTCTAAAGTTTTTAATATTTGTTGAAAGTGTACTGCATCCTACTCTTAAATTCTTAAACTAAAGTTAAATTATTTGCTACCTAAACGAAGAGTTGTGAATCAAAGCAAACCTGTACATTTTGGTTGTAAACTTCAATTGTAACTCCTCAACAATCGGGGTGTGCTACGTGTTTTCCACTACTTTTAGTTTAAAGTTGAGTTTGCTAAATTTCTATAATTCCTAAAATTGGAATATAGCATTGCTCAAGAATGTTTCTAAGTTTAACTTTCCCCAGGGGCTACTTGGATCAAATGGAGATTAGGTGCCCTCTTTTCTGGTTATCTTACTGGAATAAGAACAGCTTTTTAATTAGCACATTGAACTATTCTTGTTGCCAAATTGAGCAGTAGTTGTAGGTGGACTTGCCCATTATTTTCACAGCACGTTGGCTAACTGCTCTACCCGGTACCAATAACTGAGATTTTATTGCCATATTTAAGATAGTGCTGGACTCTAAAAGACCGAATTTTTCATGTTTGTACAATAATTTACATAGAATTTTAGACACATTTTTACGTAGATTTGTACCAGATTTCACACAGATTTCTACTAGACTTTCAAGAGATTTTCACCCATTTTTGTAATGCTATCCCGTCCATTTCTACCTTGTTTCCTTACTTTTTGGTGCTCTTATTCCTACTTCCTGATTTTTTTATATAATTTTTTTTAAACTTGTTTAAATATTAGGTCGTCAATAAATTAATGTCGCGTTTTGGAACACTTTCATTAATCACTCCCCTACACGCCTACACGTCAAGTTATATAATGTGTAAAGTTTAATTTACTCTAACCCCTTATAGTGATGGCATACGACAAGACACACATTCAGCATGTAATGCTATTTGAATACAAGAAGAAAACAACGCCTTTGTAGCCACAAATAATATCAAAGAAGTTTATGGAAATGTTTAGAACGTTCGTACGTGTCAACGATGGTTCAGAAAATTTTGTTCAGGTGACTTTAGCCTTAAAAACTGTGATGGCAGGGACCGACATGTTGGAATTGATATTGATGCTCTGAGGACGCTTGTTGAGTCTAATTCAAGGCAACACACGCGTGAAATGGCTCTGAAATTGCATGTCTCTCATGAAGCAATACGTAAACATCTAAGAAATATGGGAAAAACTCCATGAAGAAGGTGTTTGGGTGCCTCACGAATTCTCCGATGATCATCGTTTCCAAAGTGTGAACGTTGCTTCGTCTCTTCTGGCGCATAATGCGCTTGAACCATTTTTCGACAGAATTGCCAACGATGATGAAAAATGGATTCCCTATGCGAATAGTAAACGCCAAAAATAATGGCTCAGTTCTAGACAAAAACCACTTCCGACCCCAAAACCTGGACTTCATCCGCAGAAAGTGATGCTTTGCATTTGGTGGAACATCAGAAGAGTAATTCATTCAGAACTTCTCAATCCACAGTGAACTGTCAATGTAGAGATCTATAGTCAGCAACTGAAACGTCTAAATCAAGCTCTTCATCAGAAACGCCCTTCACTCGTTAAACGGAAAGGTGTTCTTCTTCTTCTCCATGACAATGAACGTCCACATGTGGCATGTTTGACGCAACACAAGATTATGGAGTTGTGTTGGGAAGTTCTCCCCCACCCACCATATTCTTCAGATATGGCACCATCAGATTACCATCTTTTTTTTTGTTCGCTGCAATGCCATCTTAATGGGAAAACGTATGCAAATGTGGAAAGTGTTAAAGAGGACATCTACATGTGTTT